AACTATGTGGAATTAAAGAATAAAGCTGCTTTACTTTCTCAGAAGCATGGAGTGTACAAAGCCTGTTGTTGTTGTCCAGACAGATTGTCTCCATCATTATAAGCATACCTTGCACCAGCCTGACACTGACAAAATAGAAGTAATGCTCTGTGCTGTGATTCATATAGGGTTGAGGGCTATTAAGTTATTAAGCAACAAAACATGACTGAAGATAACATTTTTTTTAAATAAGCCATGTCATCAGTTTGCTAATAAAACCCGAGAGGGTGAATAAAATGAAAATTCTATGAAAGCCTATCTATCGAAAAATCTATCAAAAACTCTCCTCTATCTCTATCTGATGTCTCTGGCCCTGTAGCTAGTGTCTGGTCTAATGAGCTGCCTTCAGTTAAACAGTTTACATAAATGTATGTGCTTGGATAAGCCACAAGAGAGGATCTGATACAGAACTTGCACTGGTTCATGGTTAAAGTTACTGAACTAAGGTCAGTTTTTGTCATTCACTGATCTACTCTGCTGCATTACAGGGTTTGGTCTGCTGAAATGTTTTTCTGGGTCCATGTCTGGACCATGGTCCACCAGTTGATGACCCCTGATCTATAGTATCCAAATGCTACCATGGTGAAAGAGAAATTAGATCAGAGTTAGGGGTTGTCAGTACTCACTGTGGTCTGGAGGCCTCAGCCTGGTCTGTCTGAAGTTTTTCTCCTCCTTCTACTTCCATGGTACAATAGACTATTCTGTTAGGGGCCACTGACTTCAGCCCCTGTACCTCCATGATCACAATCTGCAAAGCAACCAAAAGAGGAAAGTGACACCTCACACTGTTCATACATATGTAGGAAGATTTACCAAAATATTCAAAGGACAAGTTTTTAAAACAAACTGTAAGAGAGAGAGAGAGAGAGAGAGAGAGAGAGAGAAACTTACAGTAAGAACATCAGGACCCTTAGATCAAATGGTTCTCAACCTTTTTTCAGCTGTGGACCCCTAGCATATTCTAAGTGATCCCCGCAGACCCCCCTACATAATATGTATAGTATATATAAGTAGTCTACACTACACATTTTCATAAAGCAACAAGTGCCAAATTTAAGAAATTTTCATTTCTATAATAGATTTGATATACTGCCTGCTATTCACATTAACAGTGAAATTACACCTTTCATTTTACCCGTAAAACCTGAAATTGAAGTTTTTGCAACCTGGGGTGAGAAGTAAAATGTTCACACATTTTATTACTGACATTACACTTAATTTGACTATAATTCTAAATTATCATTTGTTAATTTAACCCATCAATGTTGGACACAATGCAAACTTTGCGCTAATAAAAAGCCAAGCTACATTAGTGTGAGAGTTGTGAATGCGCATGGCTAAGCATATAGTGTAATTTAAAAAACAGTATTCTGCGGCTTTTCTGAAATTGAATGGCTCTAAAAATGTATTTAAAATATATTTTGAAATACTTAACAAAAATATCACTTATACAGAATTAAAATATTTTTAGAAACAATCCAATGGACGCCTGTAATTATTCCGTGGCCCACAAGGGGTCTGTGGATAAAAACAAGGACAAAAACAAGTGTGCAATTGGCCGATAAATATGAAAAAAAACAAATGTGCAATTGGCCGATAAATATGAAAAAAACAAGTGTGCAATTGGCCGAGTTCAAGTAGGGTGTTATCCTTCTAAACATGTAAAATACCAGCTAATCTGTGTGTATGCCTAATTATGCAGAGAGGGTCAAGTAATTAACCTTCTTGTAATAGCTAGCAAGTCAATGGCTGGTGGCAGACTTTACATGCTACATACATTGAAAAAGCCCTTTGGACTCAATTATTATTGCATGATTAGAGATGGAAAACTGGCAAAAGCAAATGAACATGGAAATACCACAATTAGAAATGATCAACTCACATAATTGTGTTCTTCTGGCAGAAAAAACCCTAGAAGCACAGGAATACATGGGGGACAAAATAGGGGACTCCTCACTTACCTCCAGAGTGAAGGATAGCACTACATCTGATTTGGAAAGTGGCAGATCATTCTCATCTCCTATATCCAGGAAGCTGTTCATAGGAGTGAGTTTTGGCTTGATTTTGGGCTTCAAGTCTTTGGCTACAGGAAGGCTCTCCAGGTTTGCCATTAGCAGGTTGACTGATGACCTCAGCTCCTCCACATACATCATCTCCATGTCCTTAGATATGAACTTAGGGAACTTCCTTTCCTGCCAAGAATATTCAGGAAATGTGTTAAAGAATGATGAGAGATGGAGCGCTAAATTACAAAAAGTGTATTTTGCACATTTTTGCTGTATTTGTGATAATGTTGGTCCAAACAATATATGGTTCCTTCTAAAACCCATGAGTAAAGGGCTACCAAGTCAAAAAAAAAATCAGCATCTTGCCAAATATTCCAAGATATGGACTATTTTGTGTGTTGCAGAATTTTCAGACATTCTTTAGAACATTCTTTAGTCATGATGCAACTGAAAACACAGAAGAAATACTTTTGTAATGTCTAGGCATATCAGACCATGCATATTTCAGACAAGAATAAGCAAACATACACTCACAGACCACTGTAATATGAACACCTGTACACCTGCACATTCATGCAATTATCCAATTAGCCAATCATCTGGCAGCAGTGTAATGCATAAAATCAAGCAGATACAGGTCAAGAACTTCAGTTACTATTCACATCAAACACCAGAATGGAGAACCTCAGTGACTTTGACTGTGGCATGGGTGTTGGCACCAGACAGGCTAGTTTGAATATTTCAGTAACTGCCGATCTCCTGGAATTTTCACTCATAACAGTCTCTAGAGTTTACACAGAATGGTAAGAAAAACATCCAGTGAGCATCAGTTCTGTGGGCAGAAACATCTTGTTATTAAGTTGAGCTGACAGAAAGTCTACAGTAACTCAAATAACCACTCTTTACAACCATGGTGAGCAGAAAAGCATCTCAGAATGCACACTTCAAAGCCTGAGGCAGATGGAAATCTGAGGCTACAGTGGGCACAGACTCACCACAAATGGACAAGATTGAAGATTGGAAAAACATCACCTGGTCTTTTTCCAATCTTTATCTGTCCAGTTTCGGTGAGTTTTTATGCACTGAGCTACTGCCACAGATATGGCTGATTGGATAATTGCATGAATTTGCATGTGTACAAGTGTTCCTAATAAAGTGGAAGGTGAGTGTACAGTATAACTCTGAAATCACAACAGTATTAAGACTGAAACTCTGACATACTCTGGCAATTCTGTCTGTGAGTTGCAGTCTCCCATCCAATTCTCTGCGGATCTGTGCTGCCTGCTCATCAACATTGTCCAGCTAAGGGGGAAAAAAAACCACAAATTTAACTGAAAGACAATGAATCCTCATATGATTTCGCTGGGGAATCTGTAAAAACACCTACAAAAAGGGGACGATGACAATTTCCATTTAAAAGAGATTAAGACAGCCATACTGTAAGGACATATCACACAAAAATTCAGACAGTGGAATGCTCAGCTGACCTTGTATGGTCTAGCATCACTGCTTTTTCTAAACACACATACACACAGTAAAAACCCATGTTGGCACGCTGTCAAGAATGGGTTTCCTCTCATTCAGTCTACATGAGTGGGAGGTGTTTCTCTCTTTCTCTCTCTCTCCTTTTTCCATTTGATAAGCCTCCCTGCTTGAGGCAGCAACAGTGCTGAAACTTTGCTAATTTCACACAGGAGTATCAATATAGACACATCAAGTTCGGAACATCAGTTTAACCAATATATAAAATGTGTGTGAGATTGTGTGGGCCACCAATATGCATTTTCAAGACCAAATTACCATTACCATTGAAGAAACGCTGCAAGTGCAGTGACAGCTTTCGTCTTCGCAACTCCTACTCAGACAAACGCTTATATCACATTACCATTTGCTTCCTTGCTATTAATGATGGTCACTCTCACACAGATGTGACAGATGTGTGGGTGAATGCTGAACAAAAATTCCTTCATGTGCTCACATAACTTGCTGGAAAAACCTAAGCTATCGGCTCAGCTGTTTTCACCAATTACTGCTGGCTTAATCATAGGTCATTTACACATTAGGCTGCATAGGCAGTGGGAAGAACAAAGGCTTAATGATGCAGTTAGGTATGCCCAAGCTGCATAGTGTGACGGGCAGTCGCAGTGTTGAGAGAACATCTTCAGTGCATTGCCAATACTTTGATAAGGCCAGGGAAAGGGTTTAATGAGCTACTGTGACTGTCAGCCTCAACAGACTGGAAGTGTGAAGGGATCTCTCTATAGTAATGTAAACACTACTCTCAGACAGTGTGAATCCTGCTGTATACCAAACTAGAGATGACTCATAGATATGCATAGTGTAAAATATTAACTCCTGAACATTCATTTTCTTTCTTACTTGTAACCAATTCCCATCCGTTAGCTGTGCCTTCCCTGTTGCATGACAACTACCAGTCCGGGAGGATGAGTGCTAACATGTTAGGCAGATCATAGCACATTTGAACTCTCTTGGAGGAGAATAAAAACTATTCAGTTCTGCATACATGTAATAAAAGCCATCTGCAATTGACTAGCTTCAAATAGGAGAGAGAGTTCATCTCTGAGGTATGACCAATATATGCACAATGAATATACAGAACAGGTTTCTTCTTATGGAAGATGGAACTAATGAGACTATGTGGTAACTGATGGAAAGTATCAGGAAAGGCTTTGGAGACACTGCTCACTGATTAGGAACTAATGGCGTCATCTACACTCCACTTTTAACAGGTAATTAGGGACTAGGCAAAAAAAGATAATCAATGACATTCAAAGCCTATATGTGGCTAATTAATGTGTAAATTGACAGTGTTGTCAAAACAAATTTCATTATTTCACAAGTATGATTTGAATTTACAACATATTTGCACATTTGAATATGAAAAATCCATATTTGAATGTTTAAGATCATATATTTTACTTTTAGGCATCTGGGTCCCTGGAAGATTCGTGGTTAGGCCACAACGCTCTCACCGCCGCAGCCCGAGTTCGATTCCCGGCTAGCTAACTTTCCCAGCCACTGGGGCTGTGTGCAACAGTGCGCTCTCAGTGCTGGTCCCAAGCCCGGATAAAATTGGGGAGGGTTGCGTCAAGAAGGGCATCCGGCATAAAACAAATAAACAAACAACAACAAAAACATTTGACTGTGCAACATCAGGCCATAATCCCTTCCCCATTATATATGACAGCTGCCTGAGTACACATCTCCTTAAACTTCCAGCATCCTCCTCACATAGACTTGTCCATTGCTTCTGTGGAAACCATTCAGCCAGTGACCAGGCTTGATCTTTGGCAAAAGCTTAATCTTATCAAGCTCATTTGTGTACTAAGCTTTGATTTCCTTTTTGACTTTTTGATCAAACATCCCAGCCTCTCCCAATCTTCTTAGGGTGGCAGATGTTGAGACTTGCACTCCATACTCAAATTTCACCTCTGCTTTAATCGGAGGATCAGTTTTAAACCTATGATGCTTGCTCTTTCTGACCAAAATGATGTCTTCTCTTTCTCCCAAGAATCTTTTTGTACTTCACTGACCCACTCTCTCTTTGTTTCTTCAGGATGTTGCTCTGCCTCTAACAACCACTCTAACAGCAGTTTCTCTTTGTGAATATCTTTCCTCAGTCAACACATCAATTTCCACACAATTTTCTAGGCTTATTGTTGGCTTTTGTCCCATTTTATCACTTCAACTTCTGCTCAGCACTAAACACAAATAAGTGCTAACACTGCCCGTTTATAATACCTAATAGCTCTACTTTCAGACCTCATTGTAGACACTTTATTGAATAGAATGATTTCTTAGCAATCTAAAGAACAAGGTTATCCATTAGTGAGGTTTATGTCTTCCAGAACTAACACACAAAAGCTCATCATCATGGTTTCTTCAAAGATACCTGGAGATCCTACAGGCTTTGCCACAGAAATTCATGTCACTAACTGGTTTGCCATAACTCCCCTAATGAAGTCAACTCAGTCTGGGTGATAGAATTCTGACAGTCGAAACCTTATAGTTGGCACATTGAGGTTGACCAAGTGTCTTTCTGAACCAATTTTTAATCTATCTCTTTGATAAGGCTTTTTTTTTTTTTTTTAAATCAGCAATACGATATTTGATTTTACACACCCAAATTAAGGGACCATGAGAAATTTCTTTGTTACACATAAGTAATAAAAGTGCATTTAATTAAATACAATATGCAGTAATTTACTATACAGATTCTGAATTTGTATGTTTTAATAATTTCTCAGAAGCTATATCAAAGTTTGCTGCAGTCACTTAATTAAAGTCATTATTTTGGGATAATGATCCAGACGCAGTTTCACATTTCCTTATTGATAATTACGCACAGTTTCTCTGCAGTAATGTCCACATTACATAGCAACTATCCTGTTAAATAGATCATAATAGTCTACAGGGTATTCAGTACAGTACGTATGTCCCTAGTAGGGATAAAGGAAAATTCAGTGCACGGCCAAGAGCTGTAAGTATGACAAGTGAAGATAGAAGTCAAAGATACAGAATACAGGGAAAAGTGAAGGAAAGAATATCTACAATATTAAACATTAAGAAAAATCATGCAACAAGTTATTAAGCAAAATAATGAATATATAGCATATATTCAAGTGTTCAAGGTAGAGTAAAGATTTGAGACAATGAGAGGAATATAGGTTGTTGGAGCTGCTCTTTAACTATTTTGTTCCCTGTAACATAACATCACATTTTCTCATCTTTCCTCCGGTATACTCCTGACTGCCGAGTGCTTGCTTATGCATATGTTATCAGAGGTGGACAAGGTAATTCTGGAGCCTTCTTTTTACACCTTATCAACTTCCCTCTCAGAACTCCAGGAAAATTTCAGACAGTCTTCTACCAGAAGACAAAATCAATCGATTTACTTTTACAACCACTTTTGTTCCTCACCGCCCAAAGGTATTCACTGGGGTTGAGGTCAGGACTTTGTGCAGGCCACTCCAACCTTGAGTTTTTCCACTCCAACCTTGGCAAACTATGTCTTTATGGATCTTGTGCCACCTAAACAGTTCTCGTCGAGGCATGGACTTCACAAGACCTCTGAAGGTGTGCTGTGGTATCCGGCACCAAGCCGTTAGCAGCAGATCCTTTACTGTAAATTGTGAGGTGAGGCCTCCATAGATTGGACTTGTTTGTCCAGCACAACCGCAGACACTCAATCGAATTGAGATCTGGGGAATTTGGAGGCCAAGTCAACAACTTGAACTTTTTGTCATGTTCCTCAAACCATTCCTGAAATTTTTTTACAGTGTGGCAGGGCGCATTATCCTGCTGAAAGAGGCCACTGCCATTAGGGAATACCATTGCCATGAAGTGGTGTACTTGGTCTGCAACAATGTTTAGGTAGGTGGTCAAATTAACATCCATGAATGCCAGGACTCTAGGTTTCCCAGCAGAACATTGCCCAGAGCATCACACTGCCTGCACCAGCTTGCCTTCTTCCCATAGTGCATCCTGGTGCCATCTCTTTCCCAGGTAAGTGAAGCACACGCACGTGGCCATCCACATGATGTAAAAGAAAACGTGACTCATCAGACTAGGCCACTTTCGTCCATTGCTCCATGGTCCAGTTCTGATGCTTATGTGCCCATTGTACACGCTTTCGGCAGTGGACAGGAGTCAGCATGGGCACTCTGACCAGTTTGATGCTATGCAGCCCCATATACAGTAAGCTGCGATGCACTGTGTATTCTGAAACCTTTCTATCACAGCCAGCATTAACTTTTTCAGCAATTTGGTTAGACCAGATGGGCTAATCTTTGCTCCCCACATGCATCAATGAGCTTTTGGCGCCCATGACCCTTTTGTTGGTTCAGCGGTTGTCCTTCCTTGGATCACTTTTTGTAGGTAATAACCACCGCATATCGATAAAACCCTGCTTGCCCATTTCTCCTGCACCAACACATCAACTTCTGTTCTGACTGTTCACTTGCTGCCTAATACAGTGCATTCAGAATGTATTCAGACCCCTTCACTTTTTCACATTTTTTTATATTGCAGCCTTATGCTAAAATTCTTTAAATCATTTACTGCTTTAATAATTTACTGCAGTATCCACTGCTACTGTGTATACGTATTTTGCTGGGCCTTACATCTGCTTTTTATGCAGTCTGTCATGATATGGGGCTGAATTCTGAGGCTATACCCATTGCTTACCCAGTCAGTGTTAATAATACAGTAACCTCTGCCTATATATTCCTGCCTTTGCTGCCAGCAAAAAATGGTGGATCGGATATTGGAGAAAACAAATCGGATATCAGATCTTGTAACAAATGTCAGTTGGATTTGGAAAAGAAATTTACTTTTGGAACTGTAACTGTTTACATATAAAGAGATTTGACAGTTGTTTCTTTTGTTAAGATTGATTTTTTTATACTGTATTATATTTACAGTGTAAGTGATTTTTTTTTGTTAAAGAGTTTAACTATTAAGTGCTTCAGTTAAATTTTTTTAAGCATAGTAGTTGTTAAATAAATCAGTAGAAATATGTGTATTGGTATCATCTGATACTCAAGGTTTCAGTATCAGTATCGGAAAAGAAAGTGGTATCGTGACATCTCTAATATTAACCCCAACCATAAATGTTTACAGTGCTTTCCTGATTATTATTACTTCTTTCAGTCTTTAGATTTTAATCTTCTAATCACTCTAAACCTGTGTACAAACTTTTTTTTTAACCAGATGGTGCACTCCATTTATCTGGATCTACTTTGTTTGCCCTCATCCAGACTCTGATTAATGGGTGATGGAGCTTTCACTACTGTACACAAATAACTCATTATGTCTCAGCATCTATGTGACTGCATCTTCTTGTCCATTTTCAAATCACAGCTCAACACACAGTACCAGTTAACTTAAATATGTAGATAGACTACATATTTTTTCACCTGTGTCATATGTATTACTTGCACAAATCTGTACCATACTTATTATTTGACTTTGTTCATACAATTATTTATTATTTTACCTTTCCTTATTTAGAATGCTTTACCTTGCCTCTGTTGTTTTTTTTTTGCCCTTTAAATAAGACTCTTTTAAATTAAATTGTCACTGCATATGCCCACAAACACCCACTCACATACTTACTTACACTCACATACATATTTACACTCACCTAAAAACACAGACCCACATAAACCCTGACACACACACGGAATGTGGCTGATTTTCTTCTTGTTGCTGTGTTGCCTAGTTGGAATTTCAATTCTATTTTGGTTTGGCTACTATTTCTATGACAACAAGGCTCAGGAACTTCCTAATCACAGATCTAGTCTGGGGCGGGCATTCATGTTGAAATCACCGGTTGGTGTATTTCTAGAGGTAATGCTTCAAGACATGTAGCAAAAATAAAGGTAAGATTTTGTACACTTCCAGCTAGTTTAAAATGTCCACTATAAATCATATTGCATATTGGTGTTGAAGCCACACAGTGCTTTATGTTTAAAATGAGCTTTACTCTGGCTGCCTACTATAATGCCAATGCACTACTAATTAATCAAAAGTCTTCAGGCTGATTTATTCTTCGGATGGGGCACTGTGAATTGGCTGGTGGAGCCCCAACTCTCACACTCTCTCTTTAAACACATTTATCAGTGTGCAGTGTTGGCCATAGCACATCCATTTAACTGCATTTCTCACAGAGGTGGAAGCATTTTTAAAGCGAACAGCTTCTAAACAGTGGAGATAAAAACTATGTATCTGAACTGATGGCTGAACATAAATTAAATATTTTATGTTTATCTCTGTTCAGAGTTGCTTTTGTCCTTCAACTCAGCACAGTTGGGCTGTTTCTTACAAAGTCAATGATTAAATTAAGTTGTCCATTCAAGGTTAAATCATTATTTAAGAAGAGTAGAGTCATACAAGCATTAAATTTTAGTCATCCTCTGAGCAAAATTCAAAAGCCTTGAATCATGCCTTCAAATAAATGTTTAGGCCATGCTGCAAAAGAGGACAACATTCTCATCTCCACTGTT